ATGAGATGAGTTTATCAGTAACATTCTATTATGGAATTTGTCGTTAAAACTTATGGTCTTGGTTGTGGTTGAAGTTGCTTAGAATGACTTTTGCTTGGGAGTTTATTTGTATTAATATAGATTTTAATGAAGAAGGAGCGAGGGAAACCTAATTACCCCCCCCCCCCCGCGCCTTCTCCAATTTCTCCAATTCCTGACTCCTCAACTTCATAACATAACATAACATAACATCGCGCCTTTTATCCCCGAAGGGTAGGCAGAGGTGCACATTATACCACTGTACAATGTAACACCCACTTTTCACTATTTATGTTATGAGTTCCATGTAATAGGGGGTGAGCCTATTGCTATATACCGGGCACAATTCCAGACTCCGTGCTACTACTGAGAATATTTAAGAACCCAACAATACTTTACCCGACCCGGAAATCGAACCCGAGACCCCTTGCCCGGCAGTCGCACTTACGACTACTCGGCCAACGAGGCAGTCTAAACAGGAGCAGGAAACCTAATTACCCTCCCAGCCCTCTCCAATTTCTCCAATTCCTGACTCCTCAAATTCCTAATCCCCAAAAGACCGGTAACGCACTTGTTACGCCTATAGTGTTCCGGATGTCCATGGGCGACGCCGATTGCTTAACATCAGATGATCCGTATCTGTTCAGTTATTGGCTTATCCCATAAAAAGATAGATTGTCGATCCATCTAATTTGTTTGGATATGTCTTCTCCATTCATTAATAGTTCTGCAGCATCAAACAGTCAACTGTTACACTATTGGGCTTTTGCTGTTCTTTAAGCGGTTTGCCATAATATCAGAACTTGGCAGGTTATTTGGAGTCTACAGTTTAAAAAGTTCTGGTCTTTTATCTAGGAGCTGAATCACACTAATGTTTTAAATGCAAATGTATGTGTTTGTTACTCTTTCCCGTCAAACGGCTGAAGGGAACGACATGAAATTTTGAACGGGGATAGACTATGATTACTTTTATCCCACGGGATTGTGGGCTTGCAAGATATAATATCCAAATCATTCAGACTACCAAGATATACATATTGTATGAGAAAAACCTATTTATATAAACTGCACACAAAACCAGGCGTCGTATTAATGAAGACAATAGGGTAGTTTCCAGGGTAAGAAAGTTCAAAATCTAATTAGTCCGTCAGTTAGATAATGAAAAAATATTAGACACGTATTTTTTTATTTTCTCGTATAAAGTTACAATACTTAAATAAAATAAGTAACGTCAAGTTTAGGAGTGGGAGATAGTTACGTCATAACGTGGCATCATAAGGCGGTTCATTTTGTAGCACGCTGTGACGTCACGCGACATTTCAAATCAATATATCGTCAAAAGCATTTAATTTTGTGAGAAAAGAAAAAATACGTGTCTATTGTTTTGAAATAATCTACCAGACGGACATTAAAATAAATTTTAAGAAACTACCCTATTCACATAAACCACAATTTTACTCGTAAATCAAAATGCTAAGTTACGTCAGAACGTAGGCAGATTTTTCCGAAACAGGCTAAACAATCCATCACTTTAAGTTGAAAAACGTGGTAGATAGGAATAATAATTTTGTAGTCACATTTAGCGTGATGGATGGTGCTGGGTGAAGCAATGATAACACATAAAGGAATCGTAAGAAAGATGTATCGTTCTGATAATGGATGGGAACATACGGGTTGGAAGGATGGAAATTACTTTCGGTAGGTAAAGTTGGAGGTATTAAGTTTTTTTAAGGGGGGAAAATCATCGAATGACTGCTCCCGCCTGGGTGAGGCGGGAGGGAGTGTCAGACTCTTACTGACTAAAAACCACCCTGTTCCTTCTCCTGCACGTCGAGCCGGAGCCCCGGTTACCCGTTAGGTTCTCCGCGACTCCGAATCGGCATCGGCCCTATTGGGCCCCATCTGTGGTGGTCTGATAGCTCTTTGAGGCGCGCGCGGGCGCTTATGGTGCTTGGAGATCGTCCCGCGATCCCCGACGCCCGGTGTGTCCGTCGCGATGGCTGGGTTGTTGTTATTGCTCGTTCATCGTTGAGATCCACATTTCAAAACCAAGGTTTGCAAGTAATTTGTAATACCTCTAGTTTTGCAAGTCCGAGTGTACATGGGCGACGCCAGTTGCTTACTATCAGATGATCCGTCTGCTCGTTTCCTGATGTTTAATGATTCGGGGACACATCCCAAAAAAAAAAAACAAAAATGTAACCCAAAATTGTACATATCAGTTTCTGCAATAACTTTAGTACAATACACTAAATCTGTAAAAAAGTATGAGTGATGATGCTTCGGCACGAATGGGTCAGGTCATCACGACCTCACAGAAAACCGACGTAAAACAACACTTGCGTTGTTTCGTCGTGTGAGCGAGGTTATCGGATGTCCAAATCGCCCCCGCCACTTCCCCAATTCCTGAATCCTCAATATTCCTTGTGCATGAGTAACGCCGATTGCTTACCATCAGGTGATCTGAAAACCTAGGCTACTTAGATCTATGGTGGAAGTTTTGTATTTTGGTCTGCCATTGATATTTTTTACAAAATCTGTTTTGCTAACCTGACTGAACGCTTGGTAATTACATAACATAACATCACGCCTTTTATCCCCGAAGGGGTAGGCAGAGGTGCACATTATGCCACTGTAGAATGTAACACTCACTTTTCAATATTTATGTTATGAGTCCCATTCCCATGTAATAGGGGGTGAGCCTATTGCCATATACCGGGCACAATTTCAGACTACGGAGTCTAGTCTAGTAGTACGGGCTACTACTAACAATTTTTTAAAAACCCAGTAATACTTTACACGACCCGGGAATCGAACCCGAGACCCCTTGCCAAACGAGGCAGTCTTGAGAGGCGAGGCAACGCTTGGTAATTTTAGTGTAAGTAAAGTTGAAAATTGTCTGATCTTCACATCCGTATGCGTCCAACAGTGATTCTATTCGTGATAACGCCATGCTGATAATAACTACAGATGATGTTAGCTGATGTAATGTTCACGTAGGTGTACGATTTGCAAATATTAGGTAACTGGTATTTTCGTAGGTCACATCTGTCATCGCAAAAAGTTTCATTTCCTCACGAATATATACTAATACTAGCGGACCCGTCAGACGTTGTCCTGCATAATATCCACTTGAATGTATAAACAAAAATTCATTTAAATTAGTTCAGTCGTTTAGGATAACTTATCTAGACATCGACTGCGTCGCGGAGAACCTAACGGGTAACCGGGGCTCCGGCTCGACGTGCAGGAGAAGGAACGGGGTGGTTTTTAGTCAGTAAGAGTCTGACACTCCCTTCCGCCTCACCCAGGCGGGAGCAGTCATTCGATGATTTTCCCCCTTAAAAAAAAGACATCGACTGCAGCGCCATCTGCCGGGCTGATTTGTGAATCTAAACCATCCAGGGCGCCACTCAAACGCGTACAGAAAAATTCATTTAAATCGGTCAAGCCACTTAGGAGGAGTTCAATGACATACACAAGTACAGCAGAATTATAAAGATGGGCTAGAAGTTACTTATTAGAGTTTTTTTACTCGAACAAAAATATACTTTAAAGTCAAATTAAAAAGCAGCATAGTGCGGACAACATCGCTGGTTACCGGGGCACTCCGGCTCGAAGCAGGAAACAGAACGAGTGGTTCTTAGTCAGTAAGAGTCGGACACTCTCTTTTGCCTCACCCAAGATAGGAGAAGCCATTGGATGATTTTCCTTCCTCGAAAACTAAGCGTCTCAACGTTTAGGTATAGCGTTTTATCAAAGTCTGTGAGATAGAACGCAATTTACCAAGTAGTCTACTTACGTATGAACTAGCTGTTGCCTGCGACTTCATCCGCGTAGAATATAAATTTTAGAACAACTATTTTTTGTTTATATTTTCCAAAATAAAAGCAGCCTATTTTACTCCTTAGTATATCGGCTACCTGCCAATAAAGCCGTGAAAAATCGATCCAGCCATTCCAGAGCTTAACCAGTACAAACAGACAAATAGACAAAAATTGTAAAATACGTTATTTTAGTATGTGTATCGTATGTATATTCAAATGCATGTACCTAGTAAAAAGCGGTTATTTTAATATTACAACCATACACTCCAATTTTATTTATCTGTATAGAAATATGTAATAACTATCCCACAAAATATTATTAAACATATATATTGTCATACAACAAAATATTAGACAGCCTAGAATGTTAATATTGAAAGGGTAGACGATATAAAATGTCTTTACCATGAATTTAGGTCAAAGAATTTGCTTAGACTTAGAGCTAAAATAGAAATATCTACGAAGATTTGTTATGTCTACGAATTCTATGATCCATAAGCAAAGACATCTTAGACTAAATATTTGGGGATCGTGAGACGATCTCCGGCCACCGTAAGACCAGAACCAGACCCGAGTGTACGGCGCGTCGCCTTCCGCGAGCGCTTCAAAGAGCCATCAAACCACCACGGATGGGTCCCAATAGGGCTGAGAACCTAACGGGTTACCGGGGCTCCGGCTCGAAGTGCAGAAGTACAGAAGTAGGAACAGGGTGGTTTTTAGTCAGTAGAGTCTGACACTCCCTCCCGCCTCACCCAGGCGGGAGTAGTCATTCAATGATTTTCCCCCTTAAAAAAAAGACTAAAAATAATAGACTAACACCTGAATATTAAAAAAAGGTATTCTGTTCTGCTGTCACTACGGGATCAAAATACTTAGAATCTATTAAATAGACAGTGTAAATAAAACACATATTTATTTTCCTAACATAAATAACTTGAATGTAATGACCACAGATATAATAAATAATATTTCTGTGGTAATGACACAAACAAAATACAGCTACATGATACTGAAGAATACCGGCTAAACAAAATATACCAACACGCAAAACAAAATCTCACTGTGATTGACACAAAAACCAAAAGGACTTAACTCCACAACAACCTCACAGCAAAAGCAACCTTCGAACAAACTCCTCAAGATTGATAATCCAATCTACTTCTTGAAAGTGGGTTTCCAGGAGATGTTTTCAAGGCCATGGAAGTATCTCTTCATGTTCTGTCCATCAGCCCACTTGGAGTCCATATAGCTGTCGTCTTCATCTGCTTCTAACTTCTTCCACTCCTCCTGCTTTCTATAGGCGTGGAGAGTGAGTTGCTTGCGTTCTTCCTCGCTCATGATTGGCTCCCTGCCTGGTGCACCTTCGGAGTTAGAACAGAGCTTCACTGTCACCTTAGTTTTGTTGTTGTTCCCTGAAAAATATGAAAATATTATGGATATTGCAAATTTAATAGAAAGAGACCACCACAGGTGAGGCCCCACAGGGTTGATGCCGATACAGAGCCGCGAAGAACGTAAAAGGTTACCGGGGCTCCGGCTCGAAGTGCTTGAGTAGGAACGGGGTGGTTTTTAGTCAGTAAGAGTGAAGAGAGACACTCTCTCCCGCCTCACCTAGGCGGCAGAAGACATTCAATAATTTTCCTCCCTTAAAAAAAATCCGTACCTAAATGGTCCCTCAGTTTATTCCCACTAATGAGCTTCTTTCCACACGCCCAAAGACAGGCTCTGGATGGGTCGATGACTTCAGTGGAAGCGTGGGTTCCAGTAAGATCCTCCACGTTATCCAGCTCCATTCGAACTGGGTCGTGTGGTGGTAGACCACCAGGGAACACGATCTTGGTGGCACCACGGAGCTCGTCGAGGGCTCTGGCTACGTCTTTCTGAGTCAAACATTTGCGATGGTCCACCTGGAACATTTTAAATGTATTATTTAGATTTATTTTGAACTGTATACAATTTTTTTAATGTCTTGATGGCCCTGAGCTTTAAGACCGCGCGTTCGAAACCTACCAACGGCAAGTACCAATGTGGCTTTTTCCGAGTTATATGTATTTTCTAAGATTATGTAGACACCACTGACAAAAATGAAGGAAAAGCAAACCTGGGCTTATAATTTCTAATCATAAGACTGAAATCGCCAACCCACGTTGAGCAAGCGTGGTGAGTAATGCTCAAACCTTCTCCGTGTGAGAAAAGACCTTTGGTCAGCAGTGGGCACTTATAGGCTGTTGATGATGATGATGTATACTTTCTAACCACGGTGATAGTAAAATAGAATACATCTGTCACCAGTCCTACTAATAATCCCCTCGGGTATCTTACAAGCAGACTAAATATTTGTAATTACTAACTTTTCAAATAGAAGGAGGGGTTCCTTCCTATACTAAGGTAGGTTGCTACCCACGTAAAGACATTGTGATTTTCACTAACCTTTAAGTAACACTTTTAGCAGTACAAGTAAGGGGTAAGTTTAGGTACTCACGCTAAGTAACTTCTAGTTAATTGATGGTTTAGGGATACCTAGTAGGGGCAGGGTTTCTTTTTGAAGGGGAAAATCATCCGTTTACATCTCCCGCTCGGGTGAGGCGAGAGGGAGTGTCAGACACTTACTGACTAAAAACCACCCCGTTCCTACTCCTGCTCTTCGAGGCAGAGCCCCAGCAACCCGTTGAGTCCTCCGCGGATCCGTAAATTTAACAAGGACAGACAACAGCATTCTTTGATAAACACTAAATAGGTTTAAATTTTGATCTCCAAACCGTTTGCCATGCGTGGAGATATGAGTTGAGAGGTGTTTCTACCTACATGTTTCTTACTAATAAACTCTTTGGCGTCCTCAGCAGCTTTCTTGATGACTTCTTGCATGTTGGGAGGGGGAGCGAGGCCGCATCGGCGACCCATGTCATCCTTCACGAAGACGTGACCTGGTGGGGCACAGCGCTGTGCCCACGGATCTTCCAGTTTTAGTTCTTTGATCTGTAATATTAAAAAAAGATAGAGCAAATTAATGATAGTACATGACTTCTTTAAATAGTATTGTCGATTAAAACAGGCTGATTTGGGACCGTTATTTTTTTTTTTTAATGGGCTGACGTTTGACCACTATCTCGCCTGGTGGTAAGCGATGCCAACGAATGAATGAATATCATTTAGTTGCCTATTTCTCGGGAGTGGGGAGGCCTAAGTTCAGCATTGCACGAGGACCTTTTCTGTTGAAATCTTTTGCTTAAGAGCGCATGGCTACTGCTAACATTCGAGTATGAGAATTAAAATCCGAATTATTTTATTTACCACTTCATGATAAAAAAAATCAAAAGCATAAACATAATATGTACACATATAAAATGCCAACGCTCGCTTTTCAAAAGGTTCGACCAATGCGGGTATTCTTAGGGGTTTTTTTATACATATTTTGAAGGGCCGACGTTTGACCACTATCTCGCCTGGCTGACAAGCGATGATGCGGACACATGAATCAACTATATAGATATTTGTTTTTATAATTACTAACTAGAAATCGCGGGTAACTCACGTGAATATACTGAGAAAGCTCTACTAGTTTCGAGTATATTCACGTGAGTAACCCGCGATTTATATGTAAATAGATATTATAAAAAAAAACACCACGAACCTGTTCATCAGTCAGCCCCTGCATCTCTAGAGGCAAGAAGGTCCCATGTTTCTGCAGCTCCTCGATCTCATAGCACAACCTCGTCACTTTCAAACGTCCATTGAAAATAGCTGTTATGTCTTTGACAATGTCATCGACCTCCTTATCAACATCAGTTTCATATAAAAACTGATTCTCGTCATTTCTTTTTACAAGGAAAATCACCATTTTTCAATATATTTCTATGAAATACTTCGCACTGCAGAAATATGCGATGTTATCGAACTAACGATCGTTGCTATGGTTACGAAGCGTTTCTTTGACAACTGTTGTTATGGTGATCAGCAAATTCAAAAGAGGATTTAGTCGCAATTTGTGTCAATGACCTATTACGTCCTTGATCATATCATCTTGTTGTTTTTCTTTGAATATGTAGATAGAAGTGTATAAATACGGTCCTACGCATGCCAGAAAGTATAAGATAATAAAAAAAAAACGATTTAAATATTGTAAATTCATAGCAATATTCAGAACCATCGTTTTTTTTCGAATAATTTGTGATTTAGCTTTTTGTTTTTCGCCTGTTATTAAAAATTAATGCCTGTATTTTCCCATTTAGAACTCATTAACATCAAAAACAACAACATCCCAAAATAACATCTAATGAACGAAAGGAACAAAATCAGAAATTATTACAAAATCCAATCATAAATAATAAGTTCTTAAAATAAATCAAATCAAAATAATAATTAACGACGTTTCGACAAATAATACAAATGATTGAATAATGGGCGCCTACTGTTAATTGAATCGACGCTTCCCGAGTTTATGCGAGGTATTGCTCTTGTGAAAACAATAGGCGCTTTTGTTAAACCGCTGTTTCGGAGTAGCTCCCGGTCTCTCGTCGCTCGTAGAAAGATTCATTAGGCTGCGGTAATGTTTTTGTACATAATTACTGTTTTACGGGTTCGATGTACAAATTACTTCGATTTTAATTGAAAAGGAATCTTATATTGTTGATTATTGAGTGGCAATTTGTTATCCTACTTGTAGTATGCCAAACTTTGTGTCCCAAACAATGGATGATTTTTATTAATAACTTATACTATATCTACATTTTTTTCGACAGAATGAGGCTTACTATGACTGACTGCCAGCTGTATTATGAGTTTTATAAAACAATAAATGAGTGCATCTAAAGTAACTCAGACACAAAGCCAGACACTAATGTAAGGGGCAAAAGTTTTTTGCACTCCAAATCCTTTAGCAGAATTGTTGCTTAAATCAAAACTAAATCTAATACAAAACTCCGTGCTCACTAGCAACGCTTGTCATCACTACACTGACGAAGCTGTTCGTCCGGTTATTGACCTTTAGACAAATCCCTTTTTGGTAACATAAGCCTGTAAGGGTAGTTGTACCTAAATATAGCCTTCTTTGAACTATCAAAGGAAATATTCCGATGTATTACTAGAACCTTTTCTATCTGATATCGAATTTTATAACATATCTCTGTAAAAAGCAGCACAGCTTTATTCTCAGTACCTACACGCATAAAACAAAATTTCTATGAAAAAAAATATAAAAATAAACAAAAAATTGTACGGCGCGCCGGGTCCACGCCGGGTCAGTTAATCTAATGTAGCGTAAGATGATCACTGGGCCGGAAAATGCCGACCCAGCCAGATAAAACATCTAACTATAATTAAATTTTCGTATTTCGCCCCTGATACGTTGTCGCTGTTCAAATATGTAGCTTCGTTACTGTTTGCTATGCGTTGTGTGTAAGGCGTCCTTGATTTGAATAGGCTATTTATTCAAATACCTACTATTGTTTTGTGTATTATTTAACTTGTATGTTATTATTACCGTGTTTAATTATGTGACTTTAAAATTTGAATAAGTAAATAAGCGTATAAATTTCTTTCGCTAAGTCAATGTTTTTATCGATTAGATAGTTCGTAGAAAATAACTTAAATTCAATTCAAAATATACGTAATCATTATAACTTAGATAGATCCTATATAAATGCAAAATCCGTAACAGGGTACGACCAATAAATTACACATGTGAACACATTCACAATACCCACAGATACACAACACAAATCACTCCGATTATCGAGATATTCCAATTCGAATAGATAATCGATTGTATCGAATATCCTGTGCGGACGATTGAACCGAGTTGCATCCGTATCGATATAGTTTATGTTTCATCGTGAACATGTTCAAACAAGCGAGGGGTTGACATGTTTTTCTTGAATCTACGGAAATCGTTTTGGAATGGAGACTATTATTGAAAATGGCCGTCGTATGAAGTGTGTTACGTCACGTGTTTTTTAGAGAGAAATGGTTGTGTGATGTTATTGTAAAGGGTTTTTATTTTATAGAACTAATTATTATTAGGGAGGTACTTAGTTGTTCTATAAAAAAGTGAAGAGGTGGAATATAATAGACGCGCATTTTTAGTGTGAGAGAGCCATGCTTCGGCACGAATGGGCCGGCTCGACCGGAGAGATACTACGGCCTCACAGAAAAACGACGTGAAGCAACGCTCGCGTTGTGTTCCGTCGTGTGAGTGAGTCCCCATCACCTCAATCCCTAACGATCCTTAAATTCCTAATACCTAGGCCGGTAACTACCTTGTAATTCTGAAAATGAGCGTAGTGCTACAACCTCTTACATTGAATTTACCTGCATAAAGTTGATATTTTTTATCCAAATAAAAGTGTATCACGAAACAGGGTCAACATGTTGCACCGGCCATTTGGTGCAGGTTCGAATTCAATGATTTACAGGCTCGTACAAAAGTACGCTCGTTACATTGTTTTCGAAAAAAAACTGGTCAGAGGACGTAGATATTGTAAATGGTGCTTTTAACTACGATTTTTAAGTGTTTATTTTTATTTTGGTAATACATAGTTATGTGTTTTCTTTTGGCATTCTCCAATAAATACATCGTGTGTACCTAATGGTTGGTCTGAGTACACAATGCGCAGACCTAATGCGTAGTTATTAGGGGTTTTATCATTATCATTTACCATGTAGGCGTCTTTATAGAGTTTAGTAGCCAATCGAACCAATAAAACTATGTAACTAGAGAATTGTATTGTTAACATGATTGAAAAAGAGTAACCTATGGAGTTTTTTGCTCGTTCTTCTCCATAGGAATCTACACCTTGGAATGAGCAAATAGCTTCACTTCAATTTTTTTTGTGGACTTTCAAAAGTGCCTTCCTGGTCTAATTGAAATAACATAACATCACGTCTTTTATCCCCGAAGGGGTAGGCAGAGGTGCACATTACGGCACTTAATGCCGCTGTACAATGTAACACCCACTTTTCACTATTTATGTTATGAGTCCCATGTAATAGGGGGTGAGACTATTGCCATATACCGGGCACATTTCCAGACTCCGTGCTACTACTGAGATTTTTAAAAACCCAGTAATACTTTGCCCGACCCGGGAATCGAACCCGAGACCCCTTGCCCGGCAGTCGTACTTGCGACCACTCGGCCAAAGAGGCAGTCTAATTGAAATACATTTTGACTTTTGACTTTTTAACTTTAGGTTTGTCATAATCTCTTCTGTGATTTAGAGGTCCCAGTCTGAAAGGTTTAGGTTTAAAAGAAACCGCTTCAACTGACTCTAGCACCCCCAATAATATAATTTCAATCCGCTTTCCCCCAAAAGGTGGCAACGCACTTGTAACACCCTTGGTGTTGCAGATGTCAGTAGGCAACGCTGATTGCTTACCATCAGGTGATCGTCCACTCATTTACCATTAAAAACACATAAACATAACATAACATCATGCCTTTTATCCTCGAAGGGGTAGGCAGAGGTGCACATTATACCACTGTACAATGTAACACCCACTACTTGCCACTCACTATTTATGTTAACACTCACTATTTATGTTATGAGTCCCATGTAATAGGGGGTGAGACTATTGCCATATACCGGGGACATTTCCACACTCCATGCTACTACTGAGATTTTTAAAAACCCAGTAATACTTTGCCCGACCCGGGAATCGAACCCGAGACCGCAGTCGCACTTGCGACCACTCGGCCAAAGAGGCAGTCTAATTGAAATAGATTTTGACTTTTGACTTCTTGACTTTAGGTTTGTCATAATCTCTTCTGTGATTTAGAGGTCCCAGTCTGAAAGGTTTAGGTATAACAGAAATGGCATCAACTGACTCTTGCACCCCCAATAATATAATTTCAATCCGCTTTCCCTCAAAAGGTGGCAACACACTTGTAACACCCTTGGTGTTACAGATGTCATAGGCAACGCTGATTGCTTACCATCAGGTGATCGTCCAATCATTAAAAACTCTTTATAAAATCAATAAAACCTTGTTGACATTATCTAATTGCAATATGTATTTGTTACAGATCTCGCACATAACATGTGGCCACCGGCACGGCCATGACATCTCCACCGAGGACCCGGAGATCATAGAGCAGAGCTATGACAATTCCACGCATCATGGAAAGGTGAGTGCAAGGGATTTTCAACCTATTGACTTTATGATTAAGTTAATAATCAAAGTCTGACGGTAGCTTGATGCTACGACAACTCTGCTTGTCATGGGAAGGTACATGTTCAGGGAATTTTAAACCTTATTTACTTTGTTAAACTATCACATTTGATTCATTTTTCTATACCTCTGACTTAGAACTTACTAGGTTGATTTTTGTATTGAATATAACAAAAAACACTGATGTTTTAATGAAATTGTAAATAATACAGCCATTTTGCTAAATTGTATATTGTTTAACTTAGATAACCATTGTGAATGTGAGAGCCCTGTAATTAACTTAATATTAAATTAGACTAGTAGAATGCATTTGTGTCAGCGTGGAGTTGTCATGCTCACTCAAAGGTCTCATTGGCGGTGGCGCGTGCAGTGGATCGCTCGATTCCCTACAATATGGTTGATTTTGGCGGTGCTGGTGTACGTGTCATGTTCGTGAACGGGCGCCGTCAACTGGGACTGGTCAGCTCCAGACTGTATTATTTATTGTCTTTAAGGTTATTTTCTTTTTCAATCACTTTGACTAGATTTTAGTGTTACATTGTTCTCGCACAATCCAAACGGCAAACTATGTAACTGGACAATTGTATTGTGAACCTGATTGAAAAAGAGTAACCTATGGAGTTTCTTGCTCGTTCTTCTCCATAGGAATCTACACTTTGGAATGAGCAAATAGCTTCACTTCTAATTTTATTGTTGACGTTCAAAAGTGCCTTTCTGGTCTAATTGAAATAAATGATTTTGACTTTGACTTTGACTTTGAATTAGAAAAATTGAAGACTATACAGTCAGTATTCTCTTAAAAATCTTAGAACTCTTTAAGTCAAAAATCGTGTTTAAAAGGACACAATTTTAACACTAACTCAAAAATAATAAAATTGTTCCGTGCGAGAATAAAACCGGCGACACCTGTCGTGATGCCCCGAAGGCTTAAGACGCCCGCTTTCATGCATGAGGGTTGAGTGTGCCGTTTCAAAACCTACCAACGGCAAGTACCAATGTGACTTTTTCCGAGTTATATGTACTTTCTAAAATTATTCAGACACCACTGACAAACGGTGAAGGAAAACATCGTGAGGAAACCTGGGCTTATAATTTCTAATTATAGAGCAAGCGTGGTGATTAATGCTCAAAACTTCTCCGTGTGACAAGAGGCCGTTGGTCAGCAGTTGACACTGTTGACAAACCATTTGTTACAACTTTAGAAAATGTAATGGTGCCAATCAAAGTAAAAAAACTCCGAAAATTAGCGAAATCAGATTTAATACATTAATTAGATGTTACACGTATAATGGTACGATGGTGGTCAGGCAAGTGAACGATGACATTAAAAATTTCTACTACGTGCCGAAACGCCTATGCAATTTTTAATAAATATGGTTGTTACAACTATTTGCTCTTTCAATTAGAATAGGCGTTTACGCCTGAACACCACTATTGCAAAACCATTACACTAACCGAACATTAAAGTAGATACACTAAACTTTAAAGGTTAATCTACATTGAAAATCAACTAAAAAGACATGTGCAAAGCAATCCTTCTTAGTCTAATTACGGCAGAGATAAAAAATATTACCTAACTAAAAAAAATACCGACTTCAAACTCTTTGTAAATCGGTTAATTAATATACAAACTAAAACCTCATAACTTATAACAAATACTTTTCTCTGAAAACCGCATCAAAATTGATTCAACCAAACACGAGATAGAGCTAGTTCTAGCGCACAAACATACATACACACATACATACAGGTCAAATTAAGAACCTCATTTTTTAGAGTCGGTTTAAAACCCAATTATCACCTTCCAATCGAAAAAATATCGCCAACACAAATCCTATAAACGTTAGGTTCAGTAACAAAATAAATATATGTCCTATTGAATTTAATTATCGGGGATAGAAGCTGTGTTTGTAAAAGAGGGTTAAAAATGGAAGTATGGAGCAGAGGCGGACAAATTGAAGTTGTTCGCCAGAGAGTCGAAATTTGCATACACGATAGCTTTGCGTATTGATGTTTCGAGTTTAGGCGGGGAGCGATTTTTGTTTCTGTGTTTTTTTGTCCTTTTGCTTGCTTGATGTTGGTGTTTTAGCTAAGGTTTAAGGTGCGATGGGATTCTAGATGGGGAAATTATTAATAGGTTTTCTGCTTTCAGTTATACAGAGAGTTTGCATCTATATCTATCTAATCTATCTATCGATACATACCTATAATAAAATAGTAGAAAAGTCAAAACTACATTAAATATTTTTTAAAGAATACTTGGGGCATGATCCACAATCGATACTGAAGCCAAAAATATCGTTTTTAGAATTTTTGTCTGTTTGTATTTATGTCCGGGATGATCTCAAAAAGTACTGCATGGATTTACTTAAAATTTTGTATGCTTATTAGTTATTACTAACAGGTCAGGTCTACATATAGGAGTCTCGGGGCGATTCCCAGGTCGGGTGAACTACTACTGGGTTTTAAAAAAAATCTCAGAAGTAGCACGGAGTCTGGATTTGCTGGTATAGTGCATAGGATCACCCCCTATTACATGGGATTCATAACATAAATAGTGAAAAGTGGGTGTTACATTGTACAATGGCATTAAGTACCGTAATGTGCACCTCTCCTTACCTCTTCGGGGATAAAAGACGTGATATTATGTTATGTCAAAATTCAATGTCAAAGTCAAAGCATTTATTTCAATTAAACCATAGTTTGGTACTTTTGAAACGTCAACAAATACAAAATAAATAATAATCTGTCAGTCAGTCCGTCAGTGAAACTAGGTGAAGCTAGATGCTCATTAAAACTAAAGGCATCAGAAAACTCACCTTATGATAAATCTCGAAATCCGCTGTAATCTCATCCCGTACGCCGCACCCTCCTACCCTTTGACGTGTACGTTTCGATTGTAAATTTCAGCGCAAAACGTTTGTTGTTATTGCTGTCTTGTTGTCCAATGGCACGGGGGCAGTGGCACTCGATGTGCCCCCTGCTTAAGGCAAGGCCATAATGCTCGTTCTGGCTGGTGCGATTTTTGCAATGCGTCGCAATAATCTGTGCCCGCTACAACGCATCATAATGTATTGCGTACATGCGAAGTTACATTCTAAAAGTAAATCATCATACTGAACTTACGTTTAGCGTTTTTTAAATAATCGTTATAAGCAATTGGCGTTCCATAAACTACATACCACCAATGGGAAACACGCCACGCGTTAGGTTATGTATGTTTCTAATTATCTAGTTTTTTTATTGCAATTTTATTAATGTTCAACAATCCAAAAATTACAATATAAATTGTCTCTAGTACAGTTTTTTAATAAAGCATTTTTAGCAATATCAATGTTGGATTACATCACTAAACAAACCTCGAGTGGACTTTTAATGTTTTATATGGAATAGCCATGCTTCGGCAAGACTAGGCTTGACCGGAGTGATACCACGGCCGAGCTGAAATCCGACGTGAAACAACGCTTACGTTGTGTTTCGTGGTGTGAGTGAGGTTACCGAAGGCCGAATTACCCCCAGTTCCCCCAATCCCCGATGCCGTACAATGTCACATGCAATGAAATTCTTTCATTAAATCATCGCATCGCAGTACTCTGCGACAATCCTTACTTCCTTACTAATATTATAAATCTGAAAGTGAGATTGTTTCTTTGTTTGTTTGTTCCGCTTTCACGCCGTAACTACTAAACCGATCGCTTTGAAATTTTACAGACGTAAAGTTAGAAGTCCGGATTAAATAATAGGGTACTTTTTATCCTGGAAAAATTTGATATTCCCGAAGGCAAATAAAAGAATTGGTATAGATGGCTGTGTGTATTGGTATATGTCACATTGACTACTTTTTATCCTTTTTTGACGCGAGCAAAGCTAGTTGTTTTAATAAAGCGTCATCATCGCAGTGCCGTGTGTCCTCGCCCTAAGCCGGTACACTGGCAGTATGATTGCCTCAACGTACTTGTTGTTCACTTGTAACTGTCGCCTCTATACAATGAATTGACTCTAATACAGGGTCCTTTAGTTCTTGGTGTATTTTATTTTGGATTGTTCCTTTTTCTTTCATTGTGTTGTTAGTTTAACAGTGAATGATGAGGATGTGGGGTCTTGTTCTTAAAGTTATTGAGCTAGCTTGTGTGGGTACGTATTTGTGGGTATTGGGTATTGTGCCTTATAGAGACTCGTTCTCAAGTGGATTGTAGTAGCGTGTATGATTCTATAGTAATGTCTGTTATGTAATTTTTTTTACGGGGACAATCATTGAATGACTGCTCCCGCCTGGGTGAGGCGGGAGGGAGTGTCAGACTCTTACTGACTAAAAACCACCCCGTTCCTTCTCCTGCACGTCGAGCCGGAGCCCCGGTAAACCGTTAGGTTCTCCGCGACTCCGAATCGGCATTAGCCCTGTTGGGCCCCATCTGTGGTGGTTTGATGGCTCTTTGAGCTGTGCGCGGAACGCGACGCGCAGTACGCTCGGTTATGTAGTAATGACTGCACGGTTGGCGTGGTGGTTGGGCAACTGGCTGCCGCGCAACGTGTCACGAGTCGATTCCCGCACAGAGTAACTCTTTGTGTGATCCACAAATTATTGTTTCGGGTCTGGGTGTCATGTGTATGTGAACTTGTATGTTTGTAAATGTACCCACGACACAGGAGAAAATCCTAGTGTAGGCTAAATTAAAAAAAAGGACTTAAAATGTATATTGATCTATTTCTTTAGTCGATTCTATTGCATAGTATTTGTAGTGTTTATGCTAATATATGGGAGTGAATAGAGCAATATATTCTCCTATTATCCTGCCGTAGACAGGGCAGTTGAGATTCGATATAACTATGCTAATTTTAGATATTGCTGTGTGAACTGTGGACTAAGTGGAGATTCGTATAATGGGACCATTTCCAAGACCGTTTAGATGCACTTTTTGTAATGATCAGAATTGTTATAAGTATAATACAGACAGT